GAAACTTCCCTATATTCTTTGGCTGTGGCATATAGTCTTTTCTTAAACTCTTGTAGCTCATTTTGGAATAGATTCTGAATGGTGTTGCTATAGAATGAGGGGCCTGAGGTTTGAGAGGGTTCTGTAGAAGATTCAGCTTCATCTTGGCCCTTTAAAGCACTGGTCATTGGTTATTTTCCTTTCTCTTTTCTTGCCAACTTCTGTGAAGACCGAAAGGGTACTGGAATCTTCATCTTATTAAGCTGGTTAATTACAAATGTGGGAATCTTTACTTTAACTTCTCCAGGCTAGAATGGTGCAATCTTGTTTGCTTGGAGAAAGTATGTGGCCAGCTAAGGATAGGGGATAGGTGTGGATTTGGATTTATTGATGGTGAAATCCTTCATCTCACTATAGATCAAGGCTCCAATATTGATCTTCTCCCTGCTGATTATCCTGGCTAACAGAAGGTAGTCATCCTGATCAAGGTGGGAGAAGCTTCCAGATTTATTGACCATACTTGAATAGATGTAGTAAATTATTCTGTAATAATCACACATCTGTTTAGGTGGGAAGTTCAGCTCTTCTGGGTAACTATCACTCTGCATCAAATCCTTATATGCTTTTATGTCATTCATATCCCCTCCTCTAATAGATTCAGGATTTCCCATTAGCTCATTATCTTGACAGAAGTGAGGGTAATGGTTCTGCCTCTGAGTCGTGTTGTGAGATAATTATTCACCAAATTATCTTCGTTATCATACTCTTCTACAGATTCCATATTACAGTAAAATCTCTTAACCACTTTAGGGCACTATTCACCGCCAATACTCAGCCAGTTAGAATAGTGTTCCAGAGGGTTACTCAAATCTAATATGATTTTCTCATTCTTTTTCAAACTATCCAAATCTACTGAGACCACAGACAAAACTTCTAAGTTTCAAAATTAGCTTTGAATCTTAACATGTTTACATCTTGATTTAGGTTTCCAATCAAGAATTCAGATGCTTCGGAAGGTATACCTTGGCCAGAAGATTGCTGAGACACACCCTCTCTGGTTTTCTGTTTCTTGTGCCGTGGTTGTTTTGGAATAGGAACACGTAGTGCAACCTCCACAGCTTTCTGAACTGAAGCTTCATTATTTGATTTTGTTTTAGATTCCTCAGTCATAATTGGTAACTTGGACTTTGAGCGAGGAGATCGTCTCTGTGGTGTAGGTTGCCTAGTTTCTTCAACCTGGGTTTCTTTGATTTTTAGTACCTCCTTTTTTTTTTCGAAGGCTCTTGCCTTACTTTGGGTCTATACCTATTTTTCATTGTAGGGGTAGTAATTTCTTTGGATTAAGTTTGCTTTTCTGTTTGCTCTTCCCAGTCACTTTCGGGTTATTTGACTCTCGCCATTCTTGTTGTATCGAAGGATTCTTTGGATTTGATCAGTGAAAAGAGTGTTTGAAGGGTGCGGTGGACAAGGAGGATGCTTCAGGAGTGATTTCGAGTGGAAAGCCAACAGGAATTTAATAGAATAGTGAGTTTTGGACCGTGGCGTAGGAACAAGGGAATAGTTTATCAAGTTAGGGCTGCAATAACTAATGGGGGGTTTTCAAAAATTAAACGTCATAAACACTAAAATTATCGATCAAGTTATCAATCAATGAATGATTGATCACGTGTTCGATAAGTATGAAGAACACACAAGAACACTGAAGACAATTATCAATCAAGTTATCAAGCAATGAGTTATCGATCACGTTATCGATAAAAGTTAATGAGAGAAATGCGTACCTAGTTTGGTTTATCGATCATTTGATCGATTAACAGTTTATCGATCAGCTTATCGATAATTCTTACTATTTAACTCTGAAATCCTCATTGCTCTTGATTGATGTGTTGATTGATAATTGACTTATCGATCAGCTTATCGATAACATTCACTGCAACTTAGTTCTTTTGCTCTATATACCTTATTTATCAATCAGTTGATTGATAAATCAATCCTTACTTACATTATGATTATCGATGTCCTCATCGATCATTCTATACTCTATTTGCCTCTGTTTTTTCGTGATAAAATAGAGCTTCCTACAAAACAAATTTCCATACACTTCGATGCTTAAGTTAGTCTTTTAATCATCAAAACATTAAATCTAAAGACTCAAATTAGAGGGATAATATGAGATTTCTTACAGCTCATTGGGATTTACCATTCCTAATTCTCTTCGAAGTAGTTGAACTTCTGTTGATCGAGAGCCTTCATGAAAATGTCTACTATTTGATATTCAGTAGGGATGAATTCTACTTTTACATCTTTCTTTTGAACATGATCCTGAATGAAATGATGTCGAACGTCAATGTGCTTAGTTTGGGGATGATGAACTGGATTCTTGGATAGACTTATTGTACTCGTGTTGTCACACAGAATTGGAATCTCTCTCAAGTTGATTTCCAAATCTTGTAGTTGTTGTTTTAACCATAGAATCTGAGTATAACAGCTGGCAGTGGCAACATATTCTAATTCTGTGGAGGAAATTACCACAGTATTCTGCTTTTTACTTGACCACGAGACAAGGCATCCTCTGAAGAATTGACATTGACCACTGATACTCTTTCTGTCTGTCTTATAACCTCTACGATCTGCATCTAAGCATCCCATTACATATTCTGCTCCTTTCTTCAGATAACAGATTACCAAATTTTGTGTTCTGATAAGATATCTGAGGATTCTCTTGACGGCTTCTTCATGTAATTTCTTGGGGGCTGATTGATATCTTGCGCATATTCCCACACTGAATTGAATATCTAGTCTGCTTGTCGTGAGATAGAGTAATGACCCAGTCATTCCTCTATACTTGGTTAGATTCACGTCCTTGCCCTTCTCATTTGTGTCCAATGAAATGGTTGAGCTCATAGGAGTTTACACTTTTAGCATTTTCTAATCCATATTTCTTTCATAATTTCTTGAGATACTTTGTCTGGGATATGAATATGCCATTTTTCTTTTGCCTGATTTGCAATCCCAGAAAGAAGTTCAATTCTTCCATCATCGACATTTCTAACTCACCCTGCATTAACTTGGCAAACTCTTGATAAAGATTCTCATCAGTAGCTCCGAATATAATATCATCCATGTAAATTTGAACAATCAAAAGTTCCTTTCTACTTCTTTTAATAAAAAGTGTAGCATCCACTTTGCCTCTTTCAAAACTTTTTTCTATCAGGAAATTGCTAAGGCATCGTACCAAGCTCTAGGAGCTTGTTTTAAACCAAATAAAGCCTTTTTTAGTTTGTAAACATGATCAAGGAAGTTTGAGTCTTTGAAACCAAGAGGCTGTTTGATAAAAACTTCTTCTAAATTATAACCATTCAAAAATGTACTTTTAACATCCATTTGATATAATTTGAAATCTTTTATGCAAGTAAAGGCTAAGAGTACTCGTATAGCCTCCAACCTAGCTACTGGAGCATATGTTTCCTTATAATCAATTCCTTCTTCCTAATTATAGCCTTTGGCTACTAGTCTGGCTTTGTTTCTGATGATTTGTGCGGATTCCTTGAGCTTATTCTTGAATACCCATTTGGTACCTATGACTAGATGGTCATTAGGTCTGGGTACCAATTCCCAAACTTAATTTCTTTCAAATTGGTTTAGCTCTTCCTGTATTGCAACTATCCAGAATTCATCGAATAGAGCCTCATCAACATTGGTTAGTAGAGAAGCGTACTTCATTAAACACTTGTCTCCAAGTTTTGACCCCTTCATTGACTTTACCAATGACTTGTTCCAGAAGATGGTTTCTATTATGCCTCTAAGCCTTAGGCTGTTCTAAGTTTTCTTGTAAAAGAGGTTCATTTGAATCATCTTTGTTTTCTAAAAATTCTTCTGAAGGTACTTTATTTGAAGATTTGTTTAAATTCAAGTTTTGAAAATTTTGAACAATCTCAGCATCATCATCTAGAGGTTTTGAAATCAGCTCAATTTCAGCAAACATGACATGTATTGACTCTTCAATTGTGAAAGTGTGTTTGTTGAAAACTCTATAAGCTTTACTGCGATTAGAGTAACCGAGAAATAAACCTTTATCAGCTTTGGGATCAAATTTACCAAGATTCTCTATGTTGTTATTGTGAATGTAGTATTTACTCTTGAAGATCTTCAGATGAGCCAGGTTAGGCTTTCTTCCTTTATATAGCTCATATGGAGTTTTTCAGAGCAGTGTTTTGATGTAAGCTCTATTGGAGATGTAGCAAGCTGTACTCATTGCTTCGGCCTAGAACACTAGTGAAATCCCTTTCTCATTCAGCATTGCTCTTGCCATTTTCGTGAGTAATCTATTCTTTCGTTCAACAACTCCATTTTGTTGAGGAGTTCTTGGTGCTGAGAAGTTGTGATCAATCCCATGCTCATCACCGAAGTCTACGAATTTGTTGTTCTTGAATTCTCCTCCATGATTAGATTTGATTGACATGATAGAAATACCTTTCTCATTTTAGACCTTTTTGGAAAAAACAATAAATGCAATAAACTTCTCATCTTTAGATGAAAGAAACAGAGTCTAGGTGAATCTCGAATAGTCATCAACTATCACAAGATTATACAAATTTCTACCAAAACTTTTGACTCTTGACAAACCAACCAAATCCATATGAAGCATTTGGAGTGGCCTTTCGGTTGAGACCGTCTTCTTTGATTTAAACGAGGACTTTGTTTGTTTACCCTTCTAACAAGCATCGCAAATAATATCATGTTCGTACTAAATTTTCAGTAACCCAATAACCAAGTCCCTCTTTGTTAATTTTGAAAGCTGATTCATTTTAACATATGCAAGACGTTTATGCCAAACCCAACTTTCCTCCTTTTTGCTAGTTCTCAGAAAGTTTTGAATCAATTTGAAGAGTATAACAATTACTGTCCCTTGGAGCTCTCAGCTTTACATTTAATTCTTCCTTCTTTAGTGGCAAGTCATCTTTGCTTATTACCAAGCATTCTTGTGAATCAAAGATCACCCAGTTGTTTTTGTCGATACTCTAACTGACACTGAGTAGATTGTGACATAAGCCTTCTACATAGTACATATCTTCAACCTTCATCCCTTTGTCACTTCCTATTTCTTCGATTCCAGTAATTCTTCCAGATTGATTGCCACCGAAGCTTACCTTTCCTCCTTCTCTTAGTTTAAGTGATGTGAATTTCTTAGTATCACCCGTCATATGTCTGGAGCACCCACTGTCAATGTACCATTTGTTCGTTCTAAATGCTTTAAGACATACCTGCTATCACACCCTGATAATTTTATTCTAATTGATGAATGATTTGTGACTAACTAAGGCCAAATAGTATAGTAGACTGGTAGAGGATCCAGGCTATGAGGAAAAATCAGGATAGGGACATAATGGTCATTTTTGAAAAGATCGGTCAAGAAAGGGCAGTATTGGAAATAATGTCCAAAATTCCTGAAAATTCCCAGAAAGTCATGAAAAATAGAAAGGAGGGTACAGAATAATGTTTGAGGCTTAGAAGATGAATATGAGATTAAAAATAATTTATCAGGAAATTATTTCTAATTATTGGAATTTTTGGTTAATTAAGGAAAATTAGCCAATTTCCATTATTTAAAATATATAGAGGCCTCAAAAATTCAAGAAAAAATATGGATAAATTATGTGACATATTATCCTAATTTATAAAATTATTTCCCACCTTTGGATGTACAGAGGTTAGCTTAAAGAATATTTATTACCGAATTATTATCGGTAGAATAGTGATTTTTGACAGAATAAAATTTAGAAAATTATAGAGGGAGGTAAATGAGAATGTTATGTACAGATGATGTGAACTCCTTGCAATGTATGCCTTGGCTCTTGCATGATTGAGTTTGACCAGAATGATTATATGCTCCATGATATGATGACATGGATACAGAATGATTATGGCATGGCATAAAGACTAGAAATGTTATTATACTGCATGTAGCATGACATTTTATGCATGTTGACTTGATGGTTGTATGTTCAATGCTACTGGGATTTCTATGAAATCTCATTCCTCCTATAACATGATATCCTAGGTGCCACTACTGCCAAGGAGAAGGGAAAGGAAATAATCATGGCTTGAGGAAGTTATGAATTATGTAATGTATTATACGGTTTTGAACCTTTCTCTTTCAAGCCATGTAAGCATACTATGATCATGAATACATGATATGATAACCTTTTTGGAATGTATATTAATGATAGAGTAGCTTTACGTGCAATTATGGTATGATTATAGTGAAAAACGAAATGCTGTTAGAATCAGTGAAAAAGGGGATAAAAATGGTCTAGATTTGACCAAACTTTGACCAACGAAGACCCTGGTCAAATGGTTGACTTTTTCCCTGAAATTTGGCATGCAAATATATCTTATTTTTCCCTTTAAAATGAGTGGTAAAGCGTCACAATCGGATCTCTGTGTAAGAAGTTATGCCTTTCCAAAGTTAGGCAAAAATCCTGGAAAATAGAAAAATGACCAAATAAACAGTACTTTTCAAAATTGAAAACGGATGCGTTTCTGATTAAAGCGGAACCTGAGGTCATTTTTCCTTGAAAGATGATGTTAAGAGCTTCGAGTGAGACTTGGAACGACCTTATTTCAATTTTTTTAGAATTAGTTATGATTTTTCAAAGTTATGCTAAGTTTAATGTTACGGTGAATAGCAATGCGGGAAAAGAATTTTCAAATTCAGGTTTTTCAACCCGGTAACCTTAAATTGCACTTCCGAATGTCTTAACTTGGCACAATATAAGGTCATAAACGTAAGGTGTTACATTTATGGTATCAGAGCAAATGGTTCTGGCACTCAGGACAAATTTTTAGACTTTGTATGCTCTGAATCTTGAGGAAAGCATGTGATAGTGCCTATTAATGAGTTTATTTGGTCATTAGGATTACAGAAAAGCTCAGGTAATGGTTGTCTGTAGTGGAAGTGGAAAATCCGGAGAGACCATCAGCAAGGTCATGCCTGGTGAGCGATATCCATGTTGGTATGATGAAACATGGTGGTACGAGGATATTGAAAGGTATGGAGAGCTTAGCACCAAATCCCCAGCTACCCAGGTAGATTACTTCGGTTTCAAGGGGAAGGCTCTAGAGAAAGACATTGCCACTATTGCCTCTAATGATATAGCTCCAGTTATTAAGATACCTACTAAGGATGAAGCAGGTCCGAGTAAGATCCCTACACTTGAAATTAAGAAAGAGTTCCAGTACCTTCCTCAGCTAGTTCGAGAGTTCCAGTTTAGAAGCCGTTTTATTAAGCCGTATGAGCACCAGGAAGCTGATGTATACTTAAGGTTCTTAGATGACATTAAGAGCCTTTATTATTGGGTGACTAGAGAGGACCGTACCTTGGGAGACGATGATTGGATCCAAGCTCTGTATCGTGTAATCCCCAAGATATGGAAATGGAATGAAGGAATTAATGAGATAGACAATCACCTACCCAGATGTACTTTCCTGGAGATGGTCGACGCCATAGAGACCTTTGTATGGGCTACTTTTCCATGAGCTGGTCATGGCTAATGCTAGACTGATGATGTATATAGTGTAGATAGTTTTGGACTGTATATAAGTTAGGCTAACTGCTAAAAACTCTGTGTAACCCTTGTGTTGCTGTACAAATGTTTGTTATATAAATAAGAAGGGTATGTTTTTATGATAAATGATTAAGGAGTTCCTTTATTCTCCCATAGTTAACTAAAGAACAAGCGAAATGGTGAGAACACGGAGAGGAGCAAGAAACACTCCTGAGGAACCACATAGAGATCCTATCCAGCAAGTAATGAATAGGCTGGATGAACAACAACGAGTCGTACAGCAACTACAAGAGGCACAGTTACGGTAGCAGGAAGAGAGAGACGCTGTTATAGCAGCAGTGGTAGCAGCAGCGATTGCTCAGTTACGACAACCTGAGCAAGTGCAAGCTGAAGCAACCCCACAAGCCCAACAGCAAGCACCTAATGAGCAAGCAGGATTGGCTGAGAATCAAGGAGATATTCAGCAGTGGATTACGAAATTTTGCAAGCATAATCCACTAGAATTCAAGGGTTCATTAGAACCACAAATAGCTGAAGATTGGATTACCCGACTGGAGAAGATCATTCGGGTAATGGGATGTTCATCTGAGATTAAAGCTCAGATGGCAATTTATAAGCTAGAAAAGGAAGCGGATCAGTGGTGGAACAACACTGAGTTGGTACTGCAAGCCAACAACACCCCAATAACATGGGAGGTGTTTAAAGAAAGATTCTATCAGAAGTACTTTCCCCGATCAGCACAGGATAAAATGGAAGCTGAATTCCTAGTGTTGCAGTAGGGGAATAATGAAACTTTTAATGACTACTTGGCAAAGCACATTCGACTGTCCCGTTATTCTGCTTATTTAAAACGTCTCAATGATGAACGGTGGAATACGGAGAAGCTGGTCAGAGGATTAAAGCCGACGCTAAGGGAGGTCGTGGCGCCTCAACAGATAGAGAGTTTTAACAAGGCAGTAGAAGTCTGCCGTATTACTGAAGCAAGTCAGAATCATCGAGGAATGATGCCAATAGCTTTGAAAGCTGAGAGACCCCCATCGAGGCCGAATCAAGAAGGAAACTCTTATGTTAATAAGAAGAGGAAGAGGCCTGGCTTTGGCAGAAAGATGAGAAGAGGGAACAGACGACCTGAAGGGTTTGATATCACACGAAGGGCCAAGGAATATGAGAAGTGTGGCAAGAATCATAGCGACAAGCCATGTTTATTTGGCCAGAACGTGTGTTATAGATGTGGGAGACCAGGACACTTTTCGAAGGAGTGCCCACAAGGGGTAGAAGGGACGAGACAGCAGACCCAAGGCAGGGTGTTTGCCCTTACACAGGAAGAGGCCCGTAAGTCACCTGACATGATCCAAGGTACGATCACTGTTAATGATTGTCTTGTGTATGCCATGTTTGACTCAGGTGCTAGCCATTCCTTTATATCACATGACTGTGTTGGGCGATTGGGTTTGACTGTTGATACCTTGCCATATGATATTGTTGTTTCTACTCCCACTAGTCCTAAAGTTGTGACTTCTAAAGCATGCCTGAATTGTGTGGTCTGTTATCAGCATTGTTGCACTGCCATTGACTTGATATGCATGCCTTTTCGTGATATTGAGGTGATAATTGGTTTGAATTGGTTATCTGCCAATAACATACTTCTAGATTGTGGTAAGAAAACGTTAGTATTACCCTCTAAGGAAGAAATCCCTAGAAAAGAAGTAAGTTTAAATTTTATGACTGAAGCCGAAGCGAGTAGATGCTTACGGCACGGATGTCAAGGATATTTTGTATTCTTCTCAATTCGAGCAAAGGTAGAAGAAGGAATCGAAGAGATACCAATAGTGAAAGACTTCCCAGAGGTATTTCCAACAGAGATCAGTGGACTTCCGCCAGAGCGAGAAGTGGAGTTCACGATTGATCTTGTACCAGGGATAAAACCAATATCCAAAGCTCCATATCGAATGGCTCCCAACGAAATGGTTGAGCTAAAGAGACAAATTGAGGAGCTGTTGGAGAAGGGTTTTATAAGACCAAGTGTATCTCCCTGGGGTGCTCCAGTAATCTTTGTGAAAAAGAAAGACGGTAGTCTAAGGCTATGCATTGACTATCGAGAGCTAAACAAGGTGACGATAAAGAATAAATACCCTCTGCCGCGAATTGATGATATGTTAGACCAACTGGCAGGAGCAACGGTGTTTTCCAAGATCGATCTACGATCGGGATATCATCAGCTGAGGATAAAGACAGAAGATGTTTCGAAGACTGCATTTAGGACCCGATACAGACACTATGAGTTCTTAGTGATGCCGTTTGGATTGACAAATGCACCTGTTATTTTCATGGATTACATGAACCGGATTTTTAGACCATACTTAGATCTGTTTGTAGTAGTTTTTATTGATGACATACTAGTGTACTCCAAAACTCAAGAAGAGCATGAGCAGCACTTGAGAATTGTATTGAGTACACTGAAGGAGAAACAACTCTACGCCAAGCTCAGTAAATGTGAGTTTTGGTTAAAGGAAGTTAAATTCCTAGGCCATGTGATTAACCAGAAGGTGTGGCCGTAGATCCCAGTAAAGTTGAATCAGTACTGAACTGGGAGCAGCCTAAGACAGTGACAGAGATACGAAGTTTCTTAGGGCTGGCAAGTTACTATAGGAGATTTATCCAGGACTTTTCTAGAATTGCCCAAGCGCTGACAAAGCTAACCAGGAAGAACCAGCAGTTCTTGTGGGACGAGAAATGTGAGGCAAGTTTTCAAGAGCTGAAGCGAAGGCTAACCTCTACCCCAGTACTAGTTATCACCGATCCGACACTACCATATGTAGTGTACACAGATGCTAGCAAACAGGGATTGGGATGTGTACTGATGCAGCAGGGAAGAGTTGTTGCCTACGCCTCGCGCCAATTAAAACCTCACGAAGAAAATTACCCCACTCATGACCTGGAGCTTGCAGCGATAGTGTATGCCTTGAAGATATGGAGGCATTATTTGTATGGGGCAACTATAGAATTGTTCTGTGATCACAAGAGTCTCAAGTACCTGCAAGACCAGAAAGAACTTAACATGAGACAGAGGAGATGGATGGAGTTGTTGAAAGATTATGACTATCAGATCAAGTATCATCCAGGAAAAGCCAATGTAGTGGCTGATGCCTTGAGCAGAAAAGTGGTGCAAGTAGCTACCCTCATGATCAAAGAGGGTGATCTGTTAGAAGATATAAGAGATTGGGGTCCTATTTATCACATGCAGTTAATGGCAGATGATGTGGCTAATGAGCCATTAGTGCAGAGAACAACTGTTGATATGATAAGACAAATAAAAGAAGCTCAAAGAGGAGATCCGTTAGCAAAGACCCTTCGAGCTAAAGTCTTGAGCAATGAGGCAAAAGATTTCGAGATCTCAACAGAGGGAGTAATAGAATTCAGAGGAAGATCGTATGTTCCTCCTGTAGATGATCTCAAGAAGCAAATCCTAGATGAGGCACATAAAAGCAAATATACGATTCATCCAGGAATGACTAAGATGTATCAAGACATCAAGTCATTATTTTGGTGGCCTGGTATGAAACGAGATGTCACTGAGTATGTGAAAAGTGCCTTACATGCCAAAAGGTGAAGACGGAACACCAGAAGCCGTCAGGATTTTTACAACCCCTTAGTATTCCTGAATGGAAGTGGGACAGTATCTCTATGGACTTCATAGTAGGACTACCTCGTACGTCATCAGGATACGATGCAATATGGGTCATAGTTGATAAACTGACAAAATCGGCCCATTTCTTGGCAATTAACGTTAAATATTCGCCAGAGAAGTTAGCAAGGTTATACATTAAAGAGATCGTAAGATTACATGGGGTTCCAGAGTACATTGTGTCTGACAGGGATCCAAGATTCATGTCGAGATTCTGGAAAGCAGTGCAAGAAGCCATGGGCACGGTACTGAGTTTCAGTACAGCTTATCATCCGCAAACAGACGGACAAACAGAACGAACGATACAGACACTAGAAGATATGCTGAGAGCGTGCGTTTTGGATTTCAAAGGGAACTGGGATGAATATCTGCCTTTGGCAGAATTCGCGTACAACAACAGTTACCATTCCAGTATCCAAATGGCACCATACGAGGCATTGTACGGAAGAAAGTGCAGATCCCCGCTTTGTTGGACAGAACTCGGAGAGAGAAAAATTTGGGGTCTAGATATAGTGGATCGTACCTCTGAACAGATTAAACAGATCAAACAGAGGTTACTCACGGCTCAAAGCAGACAGAAGAGCTACGCTGACAGTAGAAGAAAGCCGTTAGAGTTCGAGGTTGGGGACCATGTATTCCTGAAGGTATCTCCAACTACTGGAGTAGGACGATCTATTAAGGCGAGAAAGCTGACGCCTAAATATGTGGGACCATTCCAAATACTCTCAAAGGTAGGACCTGTAGCCTATCGACTGGCTTACCCCCGAATTTAAGTCAGTTGCACAATGTCTTCCATGTTTCCCAGTTGAAGAAGTATAATCCGGATCCAGAACATGTGCTAGAATATGATCAGATTGAGCTAAAGAACAATCTGACATTTGAAGTAAGACCAGAACGCATAGTGGACCGGAAAGTCAAGCAGCTGAGGAACAAAGGAATCCCTTTGGTCAAAATGATTTGGAAAGATCTAAATCAAGAAGAGGCCACGTGGGAAAAGGAGGACGAGATGAGGAGCAAGTATCCAGAGCTCTTCACATAAGGTATGTGTTAAAATTTCAAGGACGAAATTTATTTTTAGGGGGGTAGAAATGTCACACCCTGATAATTTTATTCTAATTGATGAATGATTTGTGACTAACTAAGGCCAAATAGTATAGTAGACAGGTAGAGGATCCAGGCTATGAGGAAAAATCAGGATAGGGACATAACGGTCATCTTTGAAAAGATCGGTCAAGAAAGGGCAATATTGGAAATAATGTCCAAAATTCCTGAAAATTCCCAGAAAGTCATGAAAAATAGAAAGAAGGGTACAGAATAATGTTTGAGGCTTAGAAGATGAATATGAGATTAAAAATAATTTATCAGGAAATTATTTGTAATTATTGGAATTTTTGGTTAATTAAGGAAAATTAGCAAATTTCCATTATTTAAAATATATAGAGGCCTCAAAAATTCAAGGAAAAATATGGATAAATTATGTGACATATTATCCTAATTTATAAAATTATTTCCCACCTTTGGATGTACAGAGGTTAGCTTAAAGAATATTTATTACCGAATTATTATCGGTAGAATAGTGATTTTTGACAGAATAAAATTTAGAAAATTATAGAGGGAGGTAAAACTTGAGAAAAATCATGGATTACCCTTTGAATAAGGGGGATTTAATGAGGTGTTGAAATCGAAATTTTGTGACAGTAAATTGGACAGGATTGTTGGAAAATCGGACCGGAAATACACAAATAATCAGTGGATTGCACTGGTTATTGGATGAGTCATTTTTTTTCCAATATTGAGAGCAATATTTTGGCCAAAATTAGAAGGGGAGGACAAAGTTGGAATTTTCCAAATTGTTCAAGGGCATAAAGGGAAATAAGAGACAAAACAATAAAATAATATTTATTTTCCACATGAAAATCACATGGTGATTAGGTGTCCATCCATGTGTCACTTTCTTATGGTGTGTGCCCTAAGATTTGTCCATGTGTAAAGTAGAAAAAAATGGACGGCCGAGATCGCATCTTTTTCCCGAAGGGCATTTTTGGCATTTTGAAATATCAAAGCCTATAAATACCCCCCTTCCATGAACAATTTCGGCCAAGAGGTTTTGTTGAGAGGGAATTTTGTGTTCTTGAGTTCTAGGAGAGAGAAAGGAAGAAAGAAGAGAGAGAAAGAGAGAAAGCAAGCTTAGACACCTCTAATCGCCGGTTAAGAGCTAATTAAGGTATGTTTATCTCCCTAAGTGTTAATTATTTTTAGTTGATTATTTATTTGAGGAAGATTAGGATTAATTACCTTGATTAATTATGGTTTAGTGATAGCTAAGATTAATCATGTTATTTGATTAAGGATTGATTAAAGCTTAATCATATTGATCAGAGAATGATTAATCATGTTGATTAAGGAATGATTAAGGATTAATCATGTTGAGTAGAGAATGATTAATGGTTAATCCAAAAGGGATTAGTGACTTAATCTTAGAGGATTATGACTATGTGACTTGAGGACCTTAATTAAATATTGGATTAAGGACTAAGGGTTAGTGATTAACCAAGAAAGCATGATTAATCATGGATTAAGGAAGAATTCCAAGACCTTAATTGAGGATTAAGGCTTGGTCAAACCAAGGTCAAAGGTTTAGGAAAGGTATACAGAAATTATAAATTGAAAGGCACAAGGGTAGCATTATATTGAGAAAGAATGGTATACTGGATATGGAATTTACCATACCCTTACTGTATGGTTGATAGGCAATTCTTCTGGAAACCTAGGAGGATCTCCAGCAAGGGAACAAGGAGGAAACGTTAAGCGTGGAATTGAGGTAGCGTGAACTGCAATTATTTTGTTGATCTGCATTTGGTGTATTTGCTATGTGTGTTTATGTGCCATGAGAATGTTATGTACAGATGATGTGAACTCCTTCCAATGTATGCCTTGGCTCTTGCATGATTGAGTTTGACCAGAATGATTATATGCTCCATGATATGATGACATGGATACAAAATGATTATGGCATGGCATAAAGACTAGAAATGTTATTATACTGCATGTAGCATGACATTTTATGCATGTTGACTTGATGGTTGTATGTTCAATACTACTGGGATTTCTATGAAATCTCATTCCTCCTATAACATGATATCCTAGGTGCCACTACTGCCAAGGAGAAGGGAAAGGAAATAATCATGGCTTGAGGAAGTTATGAATTATGTAATAATATATACGGTTTTGAACCTTTCTCTTTCAAGCCATGTAAGCATACTATGATCATGAATACATGATATGATAACCTTTTTGGAATGTATATTAATGATAGAGTAGCTTTACGTGCAATTATGGTATGATTATAGTGAAAAACGAAATGCTGTTACCAAACTTTGGCCAACGAAGACCCTGGTCAAATGGTTGACTTTTTCCCTGAAATTTGTCATGCAAATAGATCTTATTTTTCCCTTTAAAATGAGTGGTAAAGCGTCACAATCGGATCTCTGTGTAAGAAGTTATGCCTTTCCGAAGTTAGGCAAAAATCCTGGAAAATAGAAAAATGACCAAATGAACAGTACTTTTCAAAATTGAAAACGGATGCGTTTCTGATTAAAGCGGAACCTGAGGTCATTTTTCCTTGAAAGATGATGTTAAGAGCTTCGAGTGAGACTTGGAACGACCTTATTTCAATTTTTCTAGAATTAGTTATGATTTTTCAAATTTATGGCAAGTTTAAGGTTACGGTGAATAGTAATGCGGGAAAAGAATTTTCAAATTCAGGTTTTTCAACCCGGTAACCTTAAATTGCGCTTCCGAATGTCTTAACTTGGCACAATATAAGGTCGTAAATGTAAGGTGTTACACCTGCAACAACACAATCATGTTTTAGGTACCCATACCTTCTTGGGTCCTTTTAGGTTAGTATGGATTGTCCCAGGCACATAAGTACCTTTGGGTACCTATTTTAATGTCCTATAAATTCCTTTCTTCTTGTGATAACAATAAGAGATTATATGACCTTTACGGTTGCAATAAGAACGTAATGCAAAAGGGTTAGAGGAATGAACAGTATTTCTAAAGAAGGTAAGATACGACCGACCACCACTTTTCTTCTTTCTTTTCATCTTATCTTGAACAGGATCATATCCTATTCTGATTTTATCCATTGAACATCGTTGAGCTCCCAAAATCACTTTGAGCATTTCACTGCCCTTAGTGAATTCTTACAAGGTTCTTGTGAGATCCTCGGCCTTTCTTCTGTTCTGTTGACATTCCGTACATATTGGAGGTGGAATTGTGTTATCTTTCTACTTCGCTTGTTGTTCCTCCAGAAGCTTTATTTTTTTCTTGAAGCTTACCAACTCCTTTGCAATTCTTAATAATTCTGAATGTTATGCATTGTATTTAGATTATAACTCATCGTAGGAGGGTTCAAAAGTGATTACCTCATCTGTCTCTGAATCTTCATCTTCGTGAGCCATAAGATAGATGTTGGTAGTTTCTTCATCATGATTTCTTCTTTCTCTGAGGAACTATCTTCCCAGATTGACATGACAAAGGCTTTCTTCTTTATGAACTTTACTTTCTTCTTTTCTTTGTCCTTTATCTTGGACAGCTGAGGACACTCTGCTTTGATGTGCCCTGGCTTTTTACATTCGAAGTAGATGATTGGTTCCTTTAGCTCATTCTGAGATGTGGATATTTTGCATTTTGATTGAAACCTCTTTTCGGCTTTGTTTCTGTGGAATTTCTTGAACCTTTTGATGATAAGACCCATTTCATTATCTTCTAGGTCCTCTTCGTTGTCATCTTCACTCTCTTGAGTTCTGAGAGCAATACCTTTGCGGTTTTTCTCATTGATCTCCTTTTTATATTTTTGCTTGCTCTCATATTCTGCAAGACTTCCAAATAGCACTGTAACCGAGCCAATTGATTCTCCCTTTATTTCCTCAATAGCTGTTACTTTCAGCTCCCATTCTTTTATGAGACCGCTTAAGATTTTCCTCACTTGGTCTTCCTGACTATGCTTTTTTCTGAGTGTAGTGAGATGATTTATGAGGTGCAAGAATCTAACTTCCATGTCTCGGATGTACTCTCCATCCTTCATTATGAATAATTCAAATTATGTGGTGAGAGTGTTGATTCTACTCTGTTTTACACCGGTGATTCCTTCGTGAGTAATCTCTAGTGCTTCCCACATTTCCTTTGCAGTTTCCAAACTGGAAACTCAGAAATATTCTCTTTGGCTTAGTGTACAGGTTAGTATGTTGATAGCTTTGTCATTTAGTGTCACCAACTTCCTATCTTCTTCATCGAACTCCCTAGGACTCTTATAAACTTGTTGCCCGTCTATGATTTTCATCAAAATGTAGTTACCATGTTCGATCACGTCCCATAATCCATACTCGGTAGCTTTGATGAAGATTTTTATCCTCATCTTCCAGAAGGTATAGTTTTCTCCGTTGAGGCCATGGGATCTCTCTTTGGACTGTTAAGTCTTTACAGAAGAGACCTACTCTAATACCAAATGTCAGTGGTAGTCTCACCCAGGAGGGGGTGAATTGGGTAAGTTATAAAAATCTTGCGAATTAAAAAACAGTAAGCTAAATAGAAACAGAGAGCGTAAGTTAGAGTGATTTCACCGTAGAGAGTGGACACAGAATTTATACTGGTGCGGTCTCAGCCACTTGACCTACATCCAGTCCTCAGAACACCTCCAAGTATTTCACTAAGTTCCAAGATTAATCAGGCTCTTGGTGCCACAGTACATCAATTGATTCGCTCAATCACTGTAACATCTAGACTTTTAGGCCTAGAAGTTTCAAAAATAGCCTAAATTAAATAGGTTACCAGACGCCTGTGAGCAGAAGTCCCAAAGATGAGAAAGGAAGTTAAAGCAGTTTCAGGGACTAAACTGCAAAGTAAAAGTTTTCAGGGGCTCGAGTATAATTAAGGTTAGAGGCTCCATTAAGTCTCGAAGGCCCAAAAAGAGAAAAGAGGCTAGATACAAGCCAATGGGTAAGTTAGAAACCTCAAAGAGATGGTTCTATGAGGTTAGGCTTAAGCAGGGGTAAAACCGTAAATTCAAAAAGTTATGACCAGCAAGGGCAAAAATGGAAGAGTGTATAGAAAATTCCAAGAAAATCCAAAAAAATGGGAAATAATATTCTAAGACTCTTCTATGAGGAGAAAAGATGAAAATACCCTTGAGGCAGCTTAAATGGAATTTATGAGGTTGTGACCGATAAAAAGTATACCGTTTGAGGTAATTATTTGAAATAGCAAGAGACCTCAAAAGTGCATACAAAAATGAGGTTAAAGGGTTGAAAGGTTGTACTAATTTATAAAATTAGTCTCGCAACCAAAAGGCCAGTAGAGTGGCTTTAAGAAATTAAAGAGCCGGTTTTGCCGATAAAAGGGTATTTTAGTAAATGAATTTTATGCAAGGCTTAAAGGAAGTGTTATGGGCTAAGAAAATTCATAGATACTCTCTAAAATTAAAGAGAATTTATGGATCTGACAGAAAATAATTACAGAGGCCAAAGCACTGTAATTAGAGAAAAGAAGTTAAACTCGGAGTAAAAGTGCACCGATAAAGTATTAATCAGAGTCTTGCACTTTACTTGGGCCACAAGTCGCCACTTGTCAAGCCTTTAATGGATGGTAATTAAAGCTTTCCAAGTGTCAAGCTACCAATGGAGAGGATCTTGACTTTGGAATTTAATTACATTATGATTTAAGTTAATTAAGAGAGAGAATTAAGATTAAGTAGGCTAATGACACTTGGCATAACATTAATGATGGTTGGTGGGATATTTTGTACACATTAATGAGCTCATGTCTCCCCTAAATCAGATGGGAATTTCGTGCAAGGCATGAAGAGAGGGAAAAAGAGAGAGTTTTGAGGGAAAACCAAGAGAAAGGCATCAACTTTGGTCATACAATCAAGGTTCAAGGTGAGTTCTTGGCTCTAGATGTGTTCTTGCCTTGGTTTCTTTCTCTTTTATGGTTGAAAATATGTCTTCTCTCCCTTTTGATGGCTGGTCGAAATGGTTGATGAGTGGGGAAGGGAGTTTGGTTGTTAGATCTTGCTAGAACACCTCAAAGTATGGTAGATCCAAGTGGATCTATGTGAAAATTGGAAGAATTACGTGCTGATTTGATGGCTTTTTCGAATTATTTATTGTTCATATCTGGTTCTGAAATTTGGTATGCTTAAAGTACACTCTGTAAGCTTTAAATCCATGGGTAGAACACTCCATTTGGATATGTGTACGATTTATGGTGATTTTTCAAAGTTAGGGTTTGAAATCTGGAAACAGTGTTGAACTTTTGGAAGAGTTTCGAGTTCCGTACAGTTCCGGTACTGTTCTGAGTAGAATTGGTTCCTGAAACTATTTTTCCTTTAAATTTAACTTAATTAGCTTTCAGTGAGACTTGGAAGCACTCAATTTAGAGTTTTCTAGATTTAATTATGAATTTTCAAAGTTGAGCAAAAATTCTGGAGATTCTGCGTGAACAGTACCCACGAACCAAAATTTCCAGATTTGATATTCTTGAATCTAAAGCCATCTAAAGTGGTCCTAATTGATAAGAAATAGATCATAAGGATGTAAAATGATAAGATTTATATTAGAAAAGTTAGAAAGAAAACCCTAAGACTAAGAGAAAGGGTTGAGGTTCAAGAAAGCTAGTCTTGAACTTTATGTAATCTAATGGTCCTAATGGATTGTGTCATCATTATGGTTATATTTAGGACCTTTGAAACGTCCAAGAGGATGTTTAGTGATGTTGACCAAATGCCCATATGGTTGGAAAGTCAAGGGAGTCAAAGGAAAAGTAAGAGGAAAGCTTGAGGTGCAAGGTAGTGAACTTACCCTTTATGTGCTTGACATGGTATGCTTATGTGTTGGTTTGTATTTGTTGTTTGAATGATATTGTGACATGATGATTGTTGCTGGAAATGCTGTTTTTAATATGTTCCCATGGCCATGCATTTTTATACCAAGCATAAAGCATGATGGCATGTCACTAGTTAACTTAAATTTATGAAAAACTACATACCATACACTAGCATCCATCTTGTGCATGTATGTGGTAGTGTTTGCTACTGAGATTCCCCCGAATCAAACCCCCTCCCTAACCAACCATTTAGGTCAAATCAATGATGGGCACTAAGGGCATGAGAAGCAAGGAGAAGAAGTGGAGAATTATTAATGCTAATGATTGATGTTATTATTCAATGTATAATTCTCCTATATTGTAAGTTATGTTATGAATGCCATCAATTCAATGTATGTGCTTAGGATGTTTATAGCATGAATGAAAGTATATGAGCATGAATGGGAAAAAGTAAGGCCATGTTAGGTATGCCAAAGAAATAAAAAGAATTAAAATAAAGAGATATTAAGGGATAAAACGTAGGTCCTGAAGCAGTTAATTTCAAGCTTCAGTTCGACCTATCATATGAATGAGTTAAGCTACGGAATTTGGTACACTTATAATGCATATCCCAAGCTTTAAAATGAGTGGTAAATCACATCATTTGGATGTGTATACAATGAAATATGAATTTTCGAAGTTAAGGCGCAGAATCTGGAAAGTCCAGATTTTACCAAATGAATAGTAATTTTAATCCAATAAACTGTACGTTTTCAGTGAGGATAAGTTCAGTTGAATATTTTTCCCTTAAAGAGCATTGAAAGAGCTTTCCGTAGAATTTTGGAACACCTCCATACGATTTTTCTAGAATTAGTTATGATTTTCTAAATTTGGACCTATAATCTGAAAACTGGACAGTGAACAGTAATTTTCCGAAAATTAACGTCCAAATTAAAATTTTTAAGCTTAAGACCATCCAAAGTGGTCTGGAATGGTTCTAAATGAATGCTAAGGTATTATATAAGTAAGGTGTGACAATCACTCCCCCTTACTACCTGTAAGGTCACAGACCCATTCAAGAGTCTACACTCTTGAGGTTCACTCAGAAAGTAATTAAAGATGATATGTAGAGCTCTCTCACAGAGTAAATAGATGAGAAACATTGAAGCTCAGTACAAACAAGAACAGAGTATTGAATGCAACAATAAGTTATTTGCATAAGGTAGCTCGTGTATTCAATCTCGCGTTCAATGCCTCTTCGCGCCTTTTATAGTTGCAGAAGTTTAATAACTGTTAGACAGAAGAGCTTCTAGCCGTTGAGAGTTTAGTTGCGTGTTTTCCCAGTCGCAATGGTTTTTGCCATTAATGCTTCTGACATGGTAGATTACAGGCTACTAAACAACCATTGGATAACCGTTGAGTTCTTCTTTGTAATCTGTAATAATAATTCAATCTAATAAGTTTTTCTTGCAGAGTAAAGCTCAGGAGCATAACTGATCAAATGATAAAAATGAACATTCATAGTTTGAAAGTGGAATCAATCAGTTGCTAAATATATTGAACAAGAACTGGATATCCTTGATCGAAGTAATAATCGATGACTGGTTGATTGATCAAATTATCAATTAATCAAATAGAAAGAATTTGAAACAGGCAAGTTTATTTATTGATCAAGTTATGGATTAATAATTTATTGATCAAGTAATCAGTAAATGAAAAGAGTGACTTCAGAAAAATATGTTGAGAAAAGGCTCAAGGTCACTTTTGATTTTGAATCCCTTAAAATAGAGAATTAAGATAAACATGAAGGCTAAGAAAAGCTTGAAGAGAAATAATCAACATATTTTGAGAATCACGGTAACTTGTTGATATTTAACTGGAATAAGTCAATGATTGATCAAGTGATCGAAAACATATTGATCGATCAAGCTATCGATAAAGTAAAGTGAGATAGAAATAGATTTTCAAGGAGCAATGATGGAGTACTTTATTGATAAATGAGTGATGGAAAATTTGATCAATAAAAGAGATTTAACAAAGATTTTTTTCAAAGGGCATAAAACAAATGATGATCTATTAAGTGATCGATTAATATTTGATCAAGTAAGTGATCGATAAAATATAACAGAGAGACTTAGTTCTGAAATGCCAGGGAAATGTTTAATCGATCACGTTATGTGTAAACAAAACATTCAGATA